ATACTGTATAGCACAGGAAAATATATACAAGATCTTATGGTAGCTCACAGAGAAAAAATGTGACAATGAATTATATATATGTTCATGTATAACTGAAGAATTGTGCTCTACACGGAAATTTGACACAACATTGTAAAATCATTATAAATCAATAAAAAATGTTAAAAAAAAATTTTCAAAAGCAATAAATAAAAGGAAGTATTAAGGAGCAAGGTACAGGTGTAGAATTATACACTGAAGACCAGCACCTAAGTCCCTGAAAACTGAGCATCCTTCAGATATTTCTTTTATATCAGTCTTGGCGCTTCTCAGTGGGTTAGAAAAGACACATGAAGTAGTTAAATTGGCCTGGACACATGATGGCTTTTAAAAATACATATTGGTTGGTCATACTGCAAAATCAGCAACAGTGCATAGGCACCTGTTATATTTTTGACTTCCCATTTCTCTTCCTTTTGCAAGGAGTCCAACCTTCCACAGGTGCTTGCATATGACCTGAGCACCTGACCAGTCAGAGTGCCCTATCACCCTGAGCACCATAGTTTTGTAACAGAGAAGAGCAAGCCTGACTCCATATTGGATCTACTCCTTTAGCTCTAACCTTTGTGCTCTGTTGCCTGTGTGGAGTCGTGCTGGCTCTGCACCTTCGTAAAAGAATGTTGACTATAGGCTGAATTATACATAATAGCCCTTTCTCAAGGCTCTGCCTCCCAGGCTTGGCCTTTAAAGGTATAACATTTTTCATTCATATAGAGATAAAAAATTGCAGAACAGAGAATAGCATTTGTCTCGTTGGAGGTTTACATGAAAATCATGACCAAACCTACAAGGACAGCTATAAGAACAAACGGTTCTCACATCCCCTCCAGGGTCTGGCCAGCACCAAAAAGTTTGCAACAACCAGCCACACTCTCTCCCCTTTCAGTGTAAAAGAAACTGGAATTCTAACTCCAGTAAGATGGTTCTTTGGGACAGTAGTCTACCATCTTCTTAGTCTTCTGGCTTTCTGAATACAGTCACTATTCCGTGTCCCAACACCTTGTCTCTTGATTTATTGGCCTTTCACGTGGATAACAGTTAAGAGCTAGGTCTCAGTAACATCTGGTCCAAGGGTAAACGTGGAACCCAAAGAACCAAGTGTAGTCATTTTCAGTGCATTGGGGTAGATACTCAGTAAACTTCTGAAACTGTGAGCTGCATTAAACTATGTAAACCTGGAGCTATGAGGACGATCTTTTCCAATTACATGGAGGAGTTCGCTAGATAAAACACCTCAGAGGGAAAAAAGAAATAGACACGGAAAGAGAGAACTTTCTAATGGCATCATCTCAGAACATCATCTGAGAATCCAATATGCACATAATTAGCACCACTTCTTAGACTCTCAATTATTTGAACTGGTAAGTTCCTGTTTTTCCTTAAGTGACTTTGAGATGTATTTCTGTGACAACAAAAATCCTGATTAACAAAATAGCTCAAGATTGAATCAATGAATACTCAACTGGTAAATCACTTGTTTATTACTTTCAGTTATTTGTATACTGAAATACTCAACATTAATAAGAACTCTCTATTTGTCAAAGCTGTGCTGGCTCCTGGGAATAAGAATCAGTCTCTTCCTCAAGAACAGACAGTCTACAAGAGAGACAGACAGGCAACGTGCTAGACACGGATAAATGTATCACGGCTCGCAATCAACTTTGGAAGATGGGCACTTAGAGCAGACTAGGGTGATGTCCTGAGGACACAAGATATCTGAATTGGCTTTAGAAGAATGAGTAAGAGGGGTAAACAAGCTGAGCCAGGGATGGGGGGAGGGTGTCTGGATGGGAAGAGGCAGCTACTAATCAATAAGGGCCATCTATAGGGCACAGAGGTGTCAGAAGCTTGACTGCTTCAAGGAACAGCAAGCAGTTCAGCACAGCTGATCTGTGGGGAGAAGGAAGTGACAAGAGGTGAGGCACCTCGTGACTCTGAACTGCAGCATAAAGACAATCAGGGCTACAGACAATGGTTATGTTCTGAAAATTATCTCTATCGATGTGGATAAATGATAAGACAGTTCTAAATGTCTGACATCTCCCTCTCTCTTCGTGTCTTTCTGTCTATCTCTCTCTCACACACACACACAAACACACACACACACACACACACACACACACATCTATACCTGCCACATACTCTTTTCCAAGTCCAGTCCCGACTAGCTCTCAGCTCAAAATTCAAGCTGACTGCCCACGACTCAGCAGTGCATCAAGGCAAACATGGTTCCAGTTGTAGCAGACAAACTGCTAAGAGATAACTTGGAACTGATATTCTTTCTTGCACATTTGATCAGCACAGATCAATTGTTGGATCGGCACACACTTCAAATGCCCAATAACAATTTTTTGTACAAGTTTCCCTTGGATGGAATAAGACATGTATCCATCACTGTTTTTTCTCCTTTGGAAAATGTTCACTAGCTTAGCAAAGGCTTACTTACTCCATAAAGGCACGGAGAGTATGTTACCACTGGTTCATGAAATTCAATGAGAATTTACTAACAAGGACTGTGGCGTCCGAGGACCAATTTTAAAAAATACAGATCCGGTTCAATCCAGCAAACACCCATTAACTTCCTACCCTGCGGAAGCCACTATTCTGGAGGCTCAAGGGGTGCAAACTGAATTCCCCATGCAAAAACAAATTTTCTCAATCACGCTATGAAGGGTTCTTTACATATCAAAGTTGGCAGGAAATAGAAGACTAAAATTATTTCAAACTGTTGTTGGCAGTAAGCTTCTGTCTGTGTTAATTACACTCTGTATTTGATGCTTACCATTCAGTCAACAGTCAACGCATTGTAGCCTTCCTGTGATTGACTAAATACCAAATTACTATGTGCAGCTTTTTGGATTTTTGAGTTTATCAAATTTATATCATTCGCAGATTTGATAATCTAATAGTTTTGGGGTGTTTCCAGTCTCAACTCCTTTAAGAAATAACTAATCAATGAGAATCTTGGATACAAATCCAGACACCCATGAGAAAGGACTTTAAAGTTTAGAACCCATTCAATTTTTTACAGGTTTTTTTAAGGAAGCTCTTTTAATTTTAAATTTGAAAAGATAGATGACTTGGGAAGAAAAAAATTGCACCATATTTTAGTATTGTCTAATTATACATTATTACATAATGCATAGACATCATCAAAAATGAACAGAATTTGGGTATATGTGCATATATGTGTTTGTAAGAGCATGAGAGTATGAGGGTGAGAGACTGAGCTACTGAGAATAATTTAAGGTAAGGATCATAATGAACAGAAATAACGTAGAAATCACATGCTTCACATAGGTTAGTTTTAAGCTTAGCATTCTGTTCTCAAAGTATATGTTATATTAGGGAGAGAGCAGTCAGCATCCCACAGACAGTTTACAGCCAGAGGTGTGCCGGAGCCAGCCTGTGCCAACTTGCAATAGCCAGTTTTGTGCATCTTTGCAGCTCCACATTCAGCAGCTTACTATGGGTAACTTGAAATTGGCTATAGTGGGAGCAGTTACACCACAGAAATTGAAAAATCCTATAAATCAGAACTTTTTTCTAAGAGAGCTGATGGATAAACATTTACCAGGACACACACACACAATATACACTAGGGAATAGAAGTCCAGACAGCACTGTAATGCAGGGATTGTTTTACTTTTGAACCCTCACATTGGACATTGAACAGTTTTTCCCCTTAGTAATTATAGACAGATGGCAAACAGATAATAGACAATAAAGAGGGATAACTAAACAAATTTTACTATAAAGAAAAATAAGAATAAAATTGGAATTAATAGATGGCTAATAAACGCAGAAAATTGTAATGCCTTTACTAAAAAGAAAAAAATGTCTTTATCATTTCATAAACTTGTTTGAGCTAGGAAGACAGCTTAGCGTGCATCTAGTCTAACTCCCCATTTCACCTGTAAGGAGACGGGCTCAGAACATGTAAGAGGTTTAGCTGTAGTTACAGAACTGGACAAGTGACAAAGCCAGAACGAGACTTGAATGTTCTCACTCGGGCTTTTAATGGGTCCATGAGACCTACTGTGTTCCCCTTCATGGTATCTTAGGCTGAAATTGCCAAAACAAGTACCAGTTTTTCCAGCGAATGTTCTTCATTATTAAAACAAAATACTAGCTACTGTAAGTCCTTTTAAGAGAGTAGAAATTTATTACAGATGTTTCTTTAAAGCAGACTCCCCACAGATCTTTCCAAGTCTTGACCAAGGTCCCCAGTATCTTCTAGATGGAAGGATTAGAGCACACAGTTTGGGAGGTTAGGATGATTCAAGCATTTTCTTCCATAGAATTTCTCTTGAAGTGATCACGCTTGCAGTCCCCCATCATTTAAGGCAAAACTAAGCAGACGTGGTTTTCCCAGAGTATTAAGCTAAGTTTAAACCTCAAAGAGATTAGAAGCTGCCCAGTACTATTGTAAAATATCACATTGTTAAACCACGAATGAAAATACCTGCCAGATTTATGACTAAACATGGATTGCTTGATGTTCCCTAAAAGACCCTGTTCAGAGGGAGTGCTCACACACGGACAGTTGACATTTCATAAGCTGTTAGATTGCTAGAAACCTGACCGCTAGGAACAGAAGGAAGCCGACGCCCTTCTCTCTCCCACTTGAAGATCCGTCTTATCAGGCCTCGCTGATGGCATTCACTCTGTTTTCTGGTGACAAAAAATCCATTCATTCTCTAAAAATAAATTGAGGCAATAGTGCAAAAGGAACAGGTTTTACAACCAGACACTCAAGTTCAAATCCTAGTTCAGCTACTTCCTAACTGTGCAACCTTGGAAAAGTTATTTGACCACGCTCAGCCTCAATTTCCTTATCTGTAAATGTCCAGAATGAAAGTGCCTACAATTATTTTATTTGTTAAGATGAAAGAGAAAACATTTCTAAGGTATCTGATAGAATGTCTGGTGCATAGTAGATACTCAACAAAACTTAGTTCCTCACTGGCTAGGTGTTAACGGTACAAAAATTAACACATCATCATGTTTGCACTCTAGGTATTTATGATACAGTAGGAGAAAAGATTTCTAAGTGACTAATTTCCACACAGTATAACTTGGTGAATCACTTAGGGTCTCATGAGGAAACAGATGGAACCTCACACTGGATAATTTGAAGAAGGTCGAATAAAGGGACTATTTACAAAGGTATGGGTAAGGTGAGGAAAATCACAGGAGACACTGCAGTGTCCCAGGGCTAAAACCCGTGTGACACCGCCCCTATCCTGGGCCTGAAGGGCTAGAGGAAGAGCAGATACAACTGCCTGGAAGGGAAGAATGCAACAGTGGGGCACAGAACTGACCCTGTACATCTCTTTCCAAGTCCAAAGTTGATTGACACTTACATTGGTTGCTTGAAATTGGCCAGGGTAGGACTATTTACATCACACAAGTGGGCAAACACTATGAATCAGAGCTCTCCAAACTCCCAAGCTGGTTATTAACCAGTTACCGGAATATCAACCTCTGATGAGGGAAGCAATCAGCCCAGAGTAACTCCGCAGAGAGGACACTAGGAGGGAAGAGCCCAAGCGTGTTTTCCTTCTTCCCTTTCTTCTCCTGACAATGGCCAAACCTAATCAGAAGCCAGAGGTCTAGAAATGGTACCCACTCAGGCTGACTTCTCAGGCAACTAGCAGGGTGGAAGGAATAGATAGAGGAGATGGGAAGGTAGAAACAGAAATATACAGAACATACGATAGAAGAGAGGATAAAGATCTATTGATTTGCAGATACTAACTCCTATATGTAAAAAAGATACACAAGTTTCTTCTGTACAGCACAGGGAACTACATTCAATATCTTGTAGTGACCTATAATGAAAAAGAATATGAAAACGAACATATGTGTATATATGGATGACTAAAACATTATACCGTAAACCAGAAATTGACACATTGTAACTGACTATACTTCAAAAAATTTTTTTAATACAAGTTTTTAAAAAGATCTATTGAAGTATCAAGGAGGAGATAATAACATTTCCTGGGGAAGTCAAGGAAGACAGAGAAAATGGGTCTGGAAGGATGAGTAAGAGTTACCACATGCAGAAGATGAAAGAAGGCCTTACAGACAGGGAAACCTGTGGAAGGAGAACTGCCCAGATGCCCAGCCCTGCTGAAGGCATGATATATTTAAGGATTAGGGATGCAGCATGGCGTTTGGGGTGGGAGCCCGGAAATTATGGAAGGTAAGGGTGGGAAAAAATTCTGAGGTCATATTGAAAAGCATCTTAAACTGTATCTACTTGTTTTTTTCATCCTCAACACCACTATCCCCACTGAGGCCACCAGCATCTCTCACCTGGATGACCACCTTCCAATCCACTCTGGGAGAGGAGCAGAGAACACCTGTGGGCTACCAGAAAAGGGAACTTCTAGGCTGGGGGTCAGGGCAAGCATATCTAGTGACTTGGTCTCCATCTGATGAGCTAGCTCCCTGCCACGCCACCCGATGGAAGCAAGGCACAGCTGCCAGGGTCATCAAAGGCCAAGATGTGTGTTGTCACCTGTGATGCTCCAAGATGCTGAAAGTCCAGTAAGAAGCACAATCCAAGGGCATGGAATTGGCTCAGCCACTCCCTTCTTGGAGGTCGCAGCTCAGCACTGAGCACCCCGTCCTCAACATGGTGGTCAGGGAGGGTAGGGAACGGGGGTCAAAACACTCAGAGTGACTTCCTCACGCGTACAGCGACACTCTTGAATGGTATAAACTGAAGGGCACGGTTCCCATGATGTTCTGCTGCACAGCAAATCGTCCCGAACCTTAGTAGCTAAAGCAGCAATCGTCATTTTACTCTCTTTGAGGGGTCATTATTTGGGAGGGCTTTGCTGGCTGACTCTGGCTCCGGGTCTCTCATGCAGTTACAG